ATGCTTGGAAAGGTCAAGGGCAGGTGAGAAGCAGGCATATACTGCTGGCTGATGTACCAAGGTAGCATGGGCTGTCTGTTTGGGGTTTTTTTTGCTAAGAGATACCTAAAATATTTCCACTGAAGCTGGAGAATAAGCAGAGGAAACATCAACCAAAATGACCGTGATCTGTGGAAAATGGCAGCAGCTGGAAATGCAGCTTTATTGCAAAATGGCACTTGGTGTCACTCGTGTAGGTGGTGCTGCTGTCCTCTCATGGCTTCATCTTCTGACAGCCGCAGCCTGCCTGTGGCTGATGCCTTTCCATTTGGAGCCTGGGTTTAAGGGAATGCTTGACTATGGTTTTCTGTTGTAGCATTTTTTCTCCTTCACCCCCATCCTGACCTGGCCAGACTGCATTGTCGTCATAATCCTGAGCTGGCTGCATCGCAGTGCTTCCCAGCCACTAAAACGCAATGCTGAAAATCACCGGATTAGGTCTTAATTGCAGGATCAAGCCGCTGGGAGATGAGTGGGGAGAAAGCTCCTGCTTACGCAGGTGGACATGCAGTGTTCCTTGGGAAAGCAAGCTAGAAAGCACAAAATGTTGGAAAAGCAGCTTTTTTCCCGGATTCCCCTGCTTTTCTCTACATTTATCACATCTTTCATTTTCCAAGGGTCAGAAAATGCTGGCCTGAGTTTTGTGAAGGGAGTATTGAGAGGTCAGAGGTGTTTAAACATTTCCTCCCTTGCAGTGGAAAATGTTGTCTTGAGTGATGGATATCCTGCCCAAGATGTTAATCCCCAAAATGAAAATGTGCCAACCACATTAGAAATCTGGGCCATGCTGTCATGTATTGAGGTGTGCTGAAGGACACTGAAGCTTTGTGGTCGTCTTTAACAGTGGGCTTTCTCCTGGTGGGGCTTCTGAAGCACCAAAGAGCCTGGGAAGCGCATCGGATCTTTTTCAGGGTAGCATTGCCATGGAACAACTGCCCAGATGCTCCAGGGTAGGGTCTCAGGGTGGTCCTCTGGGCAAGTGGCACAGCATACCTATACAGACTGGTTCCCCAGCCACCGTGCACTTTACCTGCATGGGTTGGCAAGGACTCTTGGTCAAGAGGGCTCCAAGGTATTGGAGTTTATCAGCCTGCACTGATCAAACCTGTCAAGAATGCGTGATTTTCTAGAGGCCATGTGATGGGCAAGGGGGCTGATGGAGACTTTCTTCATTGAGTTTGCTTGGCAGTGCCTGTGAACATTCCCTTTTAGGGAGGGAATGGGTTATGCCTGTGAGATGTTTTTGCACTGGGTTGTCCTTTCTGTTTGTTTTCAGACAGCTTGAACAAAGCATTGCTGTCTCCCAAAACAAATACCTAGATAAAGCAATGAAGTTTGATCTCTGTAACGCTGATGAGAATATTCTGTGACAAGATCTACCAAATAAACTCTACCTTGCATGTCTGTCCTTTGGCAGGACTGTCTGTCCCAGAGGTACCAGGGTGACATTAGTGCAGAGAGACCCTCCCTTTGGAGTTGGGGTCTGCAATGCTAGTGCCAGGACAAGACAAGAACAGCTTTGTGATGAAGGTCATTTATGACAGCCTGAACCACCTTCTCCAAAACACGGGCTACTGCTGCGGTGCCCTGGGGTGGTGGGTGCTGTCTTAGGGGAGCCGCCCCTCAGTACCAGCAGCAGATGCCTTGGCTCTCCGCTGGGCATTTGCAGAGGTGGCATAGGCAGCGTTTGCTGAAGCTGTGCTGCAGGACTCGCTCATGCATGGCTAACATGCCCAGGGAGTCCAAGTGGGTGCATGGGAGGAGGAAGAGGAGGAGGAGGGCTGCCGTTGGCAAGCACAGAGCCAGCAATGTCTCCCGGCCCCTGCAGGGACACCAGCTCTGCCCAAGCTCAGCTGAGCCGCCTGCTATCACCCATCCGGAGGAGACTGCAGGGATCCCAGCATCTGCTTTTCCAGCTCTTATTTGGAAACCAGGCTAGAGACCAAAGTCCAGCCCAGAGCTGATCTCCCTCCCCCTATTCTGCTTCATGTGCCATCTCCCATCTGGGAGATAATCATAGTATTAAATTAATTTAATACTTGGTGTTCAGAATTCCCCTAATTAGAAGGTTTTGCTCAAATTTTAGGAGATTGTCAGTATTTGTGAGGTATCAGCAAGCATAAAGGCAAGAGCGCCATCTTAGGCAATCACTCCAACCTCCAAAAATCTGGAAAGGAGAAAAATCAGAGTGTGTATGTTTGCAAGTGGGGAACGGGAGTCTTTCTGCTATTCTGGGTTTCCATTTTCCTTCGTCTTCTCTTTCTTCTCCTTGGTCACTGGTGCCTGAGCTGCTTTCCTAGACACAGGGAATTCTTGATAGATTAAGGAAATTTCCCAGAATTTAATATATTTAATCTCAAAACCAAGGGAGAGGGAAGAACCAAAACTCTTAGTACTGACAATGCCTCCTCTGAGTACTTTCCCAAAAGGCATCTGTGTTTAAAGCGTCTACAACAGGATCATCCTTTGTAAAGACATTACTCAGCTGTTTTGGGGCAGATCAGTGCTGGGCACCACGCTCCCCACCCTGCAGAGCTCCCCTCACTGTGGTGCAAAGACATTTGGCTGCTTCCCACAATGGCCATGCCTGGGAGGATGCTGCTCCAGTCCTCTGCCTGCGGTTGCCCAGGCATGATCATCAGCAGAGTCTCACTTGGATTGCTGTGCAGCTTCCATTTTGGGGCCAAACTCAACACTTCTGTCTCCTAATGCTGTGTCTTTGACCTCTGCAGGGCTGCACCTGCTTTGCACTGGGTTGGAGTTGGGCTCTGGATCTACTCTATCCGTTGGACTGGATGTAATGGTGTCCTCAGGGCTTTCCAGTAGATGGACAAAGACGCCATTTCAAAGCTGCGGTGAACTAGGCAGAATATGACAGTGAAGAGGAAGGGTCTGAGATGGGTCTCTCTCCAGGCAGGGAATGCTCTGAAATGCTCAAAATGGCGTTTGGAGGATATTTTTTCCTAGCCCTTTGTCTGTGAAGAATGAGGGCTGTGGAGGGAGGCACGCGCCTAGGGTGAATGCCTCGGCTCTATTGTTCCCATCATTTCCATTGAGTTTATGAACCCCATATAAAAGACTTACCTTTCACTAGTATGATTAAGAAAAGGCCAATGTAGCTTTCCCGCTCACTGGAGCGTGAAGCGTGTTTAATTTAATAATGCTGATAAATCTTAAAGCCAGGAGCATTTGGCTAACACATGACCCACTTTTTCAATCAATTGGAAACATTTACATAACGGCCTGATGCAGGGTTCCTCCTGTGAGGGATATGAAACAGGGGATGGCAGACACCCCTGCGGTAAGCACTCCCACTGTAGGACATTTGGTGAAAGCAAAGCAGCAAATTTGGCCAGTCCTTATTGGGCAAGTTGTGACCCACCTCACTGGGACTGCCAGGTCTCCAGACCTCAGCCACCCAGCTGGGCTTTGGGGTCCATCACCCTGGTGGCAAAGCCCAGACTTCTCCAGGGTCCCACCCTTGCCTGCCAGCTCCCAGCCACATCTACACATTTTTTGAACACCTCCAGGGATGGTGACTCCACCACCTCTCTGGGCAGCCTGCAGCCTCAAGATCAGGATTTGCAAGTAGATTATAAGGAACCTCATTGCCAGTGAGCCAGTCTCCTGTTAGCTCAGCAGGAGCACCATCTTCCTTCTAACCATGTAGGTTTTATCCATTTTGGCTTTCATAAGAACCTCTTGGAAGAGGAGGTTTTACAACAAACCCATCTCCCAGCCATGATTTGTGCATTGCTGCCTGTTTATTCATCCTGACTGCCTCTTTGCATTAAAGTAATACTTAACAACTGGTTAACCTCCCATTTTTTGGTCACATAAGTCCCTGTCTGAGCAAAGAAAAATGCCAGATGCTCATGACCAGGATGAAGGATCTCCCATCTGATATATACTGAGGGATTAAATAACATGGGGGAGAATTGCTGCAAGTCTCTCAGCATTGCACATAGAAGGATGATGGCACCTCCATCCAAGACAGGACTGGTCTCCCCATGCAGTAGGCTGCAGAGACATTTCACATGCTTGGTCCTCTCACAGAGATGCTATTAAGGAGACATCAGGAAAGAAAAGGAAGGATTTGTCGCTGTTCTGTGATTTTTTCCCCCCTGCCTTCAAAATATCAGTGGCGTTTTTCCCTCTAGAGGGCAGAGGAGGAAAGAGAATGGGAAGGAAAAGGATCATGACTGCACCGGGAGAACTCACAGAGGTTTCATTAGATACATGCAAAACATGAATAGCTGGAAATGGCATGGTCCTGAGACGCAGTGCCCAGCTAGGGTGCTCACAGGTTGGGATGAAAACGCAAATGTGTAGCAATTGGGACACCAGCTCCATCCTTCCCGCCCTGTGCTCTGGGGGTCAGATAGATATTTCCTGGTTACTGAAAAACTGGCTTTTGATTTTCTGAGTGCCCATTCACACTTGAAATGGTGAATTTTGCTTTGCTAGATAGGTGCCCTCGTCTTTTAAAGTTCCAGTTCAGCCACTGGTCTTTGGCCAGGCTTCTCCACCAACTCCCTGCTCCTGTGTCCATGCATTCAGCTGGGCACAGCTGCTTTTTGGCTTGTGCAAGTGTGGGCTAGCCATCTGGCTGTGCCACTTTGGACACTTGAGTATTTGCTCCTGCGATGGCTTTTGCATAAAGCTCGTGGCAAAGCCACAGCAGAGCTGCGGGCTGTTCCCGGGCCCATGCCCAGCATGGTCCCTGCAGCACCACCTGCACCCACGAAAGTGGTCAGCCCATGACATCTCCCTGCAGCTCCTCCAGCTGGGGCTTTCCCATGCCCTGCTGCTCTGCAGCGTCCATCCCATGTTGAGGAACCTGCTGGTTTTGAGAGAAAAAGTTTCCCCCTCTCTGTCCTCAGGTGATACGGCCGTGGTGCTGTCTCCTTCTGCGCCGGGGCTGCCCTCCCAGCTAACACACGTCTCCCGTCCCCCAGTAGGAAATGGAGTCGAAAGTCTCCGAAGGTGGCCTGAACGTCACCCTCACCATCCGGCTGCTGATGCATGGCAAGGTAAGGGGGTCCCTGTGAGGGAGGTTTCCTCACCGCTCCCTCTCCTGCCTCTGCTCTGGCTGTGCCCAGGTTCAGCCAGCCCCATGCACCAGCTCCGCAGCCCTGGGCTGCTGGGAGCAGGTGTCCTCCTGCTGATGGGGAGGATGGCATGGTGTCACGGTGCTCTTGATCCCTCTCATGCCTGGCCCCTGCCCTGTCCTTCTGCTGGGGACAGTGTACACCAGGTCTTTGCTTCATTATGGGGTTGGGCTGGATTGTCTTCACATTTTGTAATGTCAATTCCTTTGTGTTTGGCTTTTTTTGTAGGAAGTTGGAAGCATCATTGGAAAGGTAAGGATGTCTTTTAGATGTGTATTTAATGCTATTGCCTGCACCATTTGCTGCCTGTGGTGTGGTAGATGCCAGTCACCTCTTCCCTGTGATGTCCTTACATGTTTGGTGTGCATGATCTTGTTGCTGCATCTGTGAGACAGAAATTATGAGAGACCCACAGAGGGATCAAAGACCATTCTCCTAAAAAAACCCCAACCACTAAACTTACCTAGTGACATTTCCAGCTGCTTCACTGGGGTGATGAATAGATGTTTATGATCATGTTGCCCTGACATTTTAACCCAATAGATTCATTAAGAGATTAAGAAATGTCATGCAGACCCATTTAAATTCTGCAGCACTTGTCTCTGAGGCCACAGGACACCATTTAGCTTGTGCAGAAAGCTTAATGAGGTGCTCTGCTCCCTGGTGCTTGCCATGGTGGTTTGGAAAGTCCTGGCTATACAGGATTGGGATTTTGGTGTTTTCAAAACGCAGGTTTGTGGTAGAAAAGATTTGCAGCATGAACTCCTTCTCAGATATACTTGCACCTTATTTTTCCATCAGCCTGTCCAGCCCTGGAAAGATTTACAGTTGTACCTGCTTTATATCTGAATATAAAGATATTAGATCTCTCTATAGATACTAGGTAACTGCCCTTTGAAATCACTCTGAAGTGCCAGCTTTTCTCAACATCTGATCGGTTGCTCAGCTTTTTCTGTGTGGTTTTTCTCCTAATGGGAAACGTAGAAATAGAGGTGGGAGCTGCAGTTGTGTAGCCGATTTGTCTGTCGTGCTTTACAGGTGCGGGGAGCAGGTCTATGATGGCTTACACACTCAGCTCTTCAGCCTGCCCATCACATGAGATGGAGGACCAGGCATCACAGAGCTGCCCAAATGTTTGCCTATGTGTTGCCACATATTAGAGAGATGCATGTTCAGAAGGGTTGTTTTGAAGGTGGAAGTCTTGAGTTTTTAGTAATAGACTGTGTTTCTGCTTCCTATTTCAGAAAGGAGAGACTGTGAAGAAGATGCGTGAGGAGGTGAGCAACCCTGCTCTGTAGAAGGATTTGTAGGAGGAGGGGAGAGGAGTGGGAAGGGCCATCGGGCTCTCCTGCCCGGAAGCACGCAGCACAGCCGCCAGAGCTGCACATTGCCCTGTGCGGTACGTGCAGTAACTCCCAGGGTCAGGACACACAAGCGCGCTGTGCCCAGAGCCATTTTGGTCTAGTTTTCTCACTCTCTACTCAAACAAACTCCTATAACATTTAATGGGAATTTTCCAGAGCCAAGAATTTGCTCTTAATGAAACAGTGAAATGAAGTCACTCATAAGATGCTTGAATTTGCCCAAGGTCTTTGTGCCTGCAGCTACCAAGGAGTTATCAGATCAGTAAGCAACACTCTTCTTTTTACAAGCAATGACCCCACGAACTGGTCTTGCCTTGATCGCTTGGGTTTTCACGGCAGTGAAAGACCCAAGGTGGATGCTTGGAAACCTTTTCTGAGAGTCAGGCTAAGGCAGCACTGGAAGCACCGCAGGGGGAAAGGGTGGGAGTTTTTAAGGTTATATGGGATGTCAGGAGGCTGGCAGAGGTGATGACCAGGGACCAAGAGAGTGATGTACTTGCCAGTCATCTGGGGCTCTCTAAGCTTCTGCTGTTGGGTGCTAAACCTTCCCAGGCTGGAACAGGGTCCAACCTGGAGGAAGGGCTGCACCTCTCGTGCATCCCCGCCGTTTGCTTGGCTGTGGTTATTCCAGGGCTGCCCTTCTCTTTCCAGAGTGGGGCAAGGATCAACATCTCAGAGGGGAACTGCCCTGAGCGAATCGTGACCATCACCGGCCCCACCGATGCCATCTTCAAGGCTTTTGCCATGATTGCCTACAAATTTGAGGAGGTGAGCAACATGAGCCCTTTGCCCCAGGAGGTCAGAGTAAAATGGTCTGCACCCAGACCCTTGGGTGGCCCACCGGCCAAGCAGAGCTCTGGCATGCCCACTGCTGGGGCCAGCAGTGCAAATGGGCCTGGGTACTTCCAACCCATGTGTGCCTGGTTGGACTTGTTTAACTGGTACATGACCTTGGCACAAAACCTTCCAGACATCTCTAACTAGGCAAGAACTGAGCTTCAGTGAAGTATCCCAGAGGTCTCGCAGCTAACCAACTGCAGGGATGCACAGTGATGCAGCTGCAGACCAGCCAGGGTCTGGGGGGACATGACCCCTCTTCTCTGGCCCAGGGCATTTGGGTTGGCCTGGATGGCAGGCGTCTGGCTGGGTACCAAGGGCTGATGCATTGCATTCTTCCTTCCCAAGGACATAACCAACTCAATGAGCAACAGCACTGCTACCAGCAAACCTCCAGTGACACTGAGACTGGTTGTGCCAGCTAGTCAGTGCGGCTCACTGATCGGCAAAGGAGGCTCCAAGATCAAGGAAATCAGGGAGGTAAGGCAGACCTGGTTTTGTCATTGCATGTAATCTCAGCTCTGACCAAGGGGGAGTGGGAGCTGCTTGGAAAGGGCGATCCTTACACTGTGAGCATCATGTGTGACATTGCTTCCCAGGATGGTCCTGCTGACGTAGGAACAGCATCGCATGGGACCTTGCTGGTGTGCTCCTGCAGATGTAGGCAGGGTGCCGCATCTGAGCTCACGCAGGGCAGTGCAGCTCTCAGGAAGCATGTGGCATCAGAGCTGCAGCTGCCTGCAAGGAAATGCATTCAGCTGTGGGATTTCTCCTCCTCTCTCTTTCTGTCTCCAGTCAACAGGTGCTCAGGTTCAAGTGGCAGGGGACATGCTGCCCAACTCCACAGAGCGGGCGGTGACAATCTCGGGGACACCCGACGCAATTATCCAGTGTGTCAAACAGATCTGTGTGGTGATGCTGGAGGTACAGTCTGTAACAAAGGGGGTAAAGTACATAGGAAAAAAACCCAGCTGGCACCACAACAGCACTGGGAGCTGTGGAGCGTGTCTCTCATACCCTTCAGCACGCGTTGTCGGACCACTCATTTCCTGGTACCTCCATTTGAAGCCCACCCAGTGTGTTTTCCCCGGCATCTTTGTATGTTGTTTCTAGAGTCCCACACTGGAAACCTGCCTGGTCAGGTGCCCCAAAGCAGATGGTTTGTGTCATAGCACAGGGTGGCTTCAGAAGAGAGGGGTGCCAGAGGAGGCCAGGTGGGCTGGGACAGCCATAGCCTGGTGTCCCAGCAGCACTGAAGGTGCTGTGGGAAGGGGACAGGGGCTGCAGCTACTCCACTAAGCACCTGGACTCCTGTGCATGGGGCTTGCAGTGCCCCATGAGCACCATGGCTGGGCGGAGGAGGCCAGTGCATCCCCTGTGCTGAGGGAGCTGGGGCTGGGAGCGCAAACTCGGGCTCCAACAAGGCACAGCGGGAAGGGTAGTGAGGAAAGCTGGTGGAGAGCAGGGCCCATAGGGTGCATGGACGCATGTCCAGGGTGCCATTTTCTGGGAGAAATGCTGATGAGCAGAGCTTGAAGATCTCTGTCATGGAGAGATGCTGCTGTACCAATGGCTTATTGCCAGGGATGACCACAGCCACATGCCCCACGTCCACACCTGCCACCTCAGATGGGAGAAGCTCCAGGAGGAAACCCCTCGGGACATGGGATGGTGACAGCCTCTGCTCCTGGTGCCTCCCAGAAGTGGATGGGCACAGACCCACGTCAGGCCCCTCTGCCTTGCTGCACAGCCCACACACCACTGCCCTTTCATGGCAGGGAGGAGCTCATTTGCCTCTGCAAGATGAGGATGCCAAGGCTTAGTGGAGGTGAAGCAAAACCAAACATAAGCAACTTCAGTTTAGCAGCCCACAGCTAAGGAGAAATTGCCATGAGCCACATTAGCCACCGCTTCTGGTAGTGGTGCTCAGGCACGTACACTCTGCTGCCAGTGGAGCATGATTTTAGCTGCATGGTGACTCCAGGTTATGCTCTGGACTGTGGCAGAGGTGGGCCCCAGGTAATGATTGCAGGTTATTATAAAGTCTTTGGTGGCTGCTGTTCTCACCAACCAAAGCAAGGGTTGCTGCTCCTCTGTATGACTCAGCAATGGGAAAGAGAAAAACCCATTAATTTTCTTGCAGTCTGAAATCTGGGAAGCCCCCTGACTTTAACAGTTTGCAGAGATGCTCCTTATAACCTTTCAGTCTTAAATTATCTTACCACAGAAATCCTCGCTCATCCCCTCCAAGATTTGTAATGCAATAAAAGAAAAAACAGGTTTGTGATTATAGAGGCTGTGCTTTGATCATACAGCTTTCCCACAGACCTGTGCTTAACAGGAAGATTTGGATATGCCACTTGGCTACAAGTGGACATCTAGAAGAAAGTACAGAAAAAATGAAGAATTTTCCATGAGATAGCATAATTTATATTGCCTATCTTTATATAGCAGTAACTGGGTCATTTAACTTCGGGTAGAACCAGGAGGCTTTTATGTGAAATCTCTCCTGATCCCTAGAAACCTCCAAAATCTCTTCTATGGTCTGTATGTTCAAGAGAAAAACAACAGAGAGAATTTGGGTGAGAAGATCCCGTGCACCGTGCAGTGGGATGCATCACTACAGCTTGATGTGCATCACTACAGCTTCTGCTCGGACCTACCCAGGTACCGGTCAGGCAGGAGGAGTGAGATGTCCTGGCCAGCTGGAGCGGGGCTGCCCCAGGTCACACTGCCACAGGAGGAGGACTGGGAGTGCGTACAGGTCGGGGCCTCTGATGCTCGTGTCTGTCTGGCTGCTGACACGGACTGCTACCACCATGCAGCTCTAGGACAAGATCTCTGGAAACACTGGTGTTGCCATCTGAGAGTGGTTTCCAGCCTCTGGCTCCTCCAGAGCTCAGCACCTTGGCCAAAGTGATCACTGCTGCTTGTCCCACCAGGGCATGGGAGGTCTTGACCACATCCACATCCCCACTTGGATGGCAATAGACCAAACCAAGTCCTGAAGGTGACCCTGTTCCAGCAGTGAGGAAGATGAGAGGGGTCAAAGAGCTTGAGCATCGTGCCAGGTTGCTCAGACTGGCTGCTCACTCCTTCTGATGCCTGTGCTTACAATGCCATGCCACAGCTCCAGGTGCTCAGTGGGGCTGGTACAACTCTGGGGCAGGATGTCGATCTACAAGAGCTCTCAGGCTGCAAAGAAAGCCACTGCATGAGGAGGCTTCTGGCAGCCAGAGATAAAAAGCCTGGTCCATGGGTGTACCTCCCCATCTTGCTGCACCTTGAGGGTCTCCTTGGGGTGTTTTGAGAAGGGCGCTGTGTTCCAGCATCAGGCTCGAGGCTAGACCAGGTGATGCAGTTTGTGGAGAGCAGAGTGAAGGCAAAGGAGGCAGCAGAGGTCCAGGAAGCGATTTAGGGTCCTGTGCCTTGGCAGGGGATCTCCTGTACTCCAGGTTGTCCTTGTTGTCCATTAAACACTGATTTCCCCTGTGTCTTCCTGTCCAGAAACGCGGTTTGCCTAGTGGGGGTGTTGCTGGCGGCGGCCCCGGGGGCCGTGCTCTGTCGGGTGCTTTCTAACGCTCTTTTTGCCGCCATTTCAGGAAAGCTGTTCTAATGTTCTCTCTCCCTCTCCTTGTCCCTTTTCCTAGTCCCCACCAAAAGGTGCCACCATTCCCTACCGCCCAAAGCCCGCCTCCACCCCTGTCATTTTTGCAGGTGGTCAGGTAAGAGCCGACCCGCTTGCAGCCTCCACTGCCAACCTCAGCCTTTTACTGCAGCACCAGCCGCTGCCCGTTAGTGCACTCAGGTTTCTTGCCTTCTGACTTGCATGGTGTCATCCCATCTGTTGTGTCCCACGGCAGGTGGACTGAAAGCTCTTTGCAGAACTGCTGGCAGTTTGCAAGCCCAAGCAGACAGCTTAGCTCCTGTGATGGCTGCTGGAGGATAAGAAAAGGGCCAGCTTGGGGAAACAGGGTGTTAGCTCTGCCGGGCACTCATGCACCAAGAAAAGGTTGGAGTTTGCTTCATTAGACCCAAATTCAGTATTTGCCAACAGTTACCAGTGTGGAGGAGAAAATGAGAAAAGCCTCACTGAACAAGAGGACATGACCATGCTCTCACAGTGGCTGCAAGTGTTTACGTTATGGCATGTCTAGTCCAATTAAAAATAATTTTTCATAGTTGTAACTGATCCAAGATAGGAAGGGCTTGTCCCAGCCACTCCAGGACCATGCTGAGCCTCTGTTCAGGGCAGCCTCTGTGAAAGGGTCATCCCCATCACTGGTTCTCAGCTGATTTGGGGTGCTGCTTCCCCCAGAAATGCCATAACCTCAGCTGCAAATCTGGGTCTCAGCTCTGCCTGCAGGAGAGCCTGTATTGCATTGCCTTCAGTGACATTGTGCAGTGCTCAGTCTGCAGGCTTGCAGTCATGATGTGGTATTTCTAGTGACCCTTGGGAAGTGATGGCAGATTTTTTCTTTGCAGGATAACCATCACATGCACATGCCATGGGAGCTGGCAGTTTTTCTGCAAACAAAAATCAGATCCCATGACACGTGATTTATGAAACAAGAGCAGTTGAGCAGGCAGCTGCTCTTAAAGAGGGGACTTGAACCATTGCTTTTTCCACCTCATCTACTCACCTTGCCTGGTGACCGAGGACCTGCCTGTAGATGCCACCATGCTGTGGTGCACCCGTATCTAGCAGGAGAGGTACTTTTCCAGGAGTTCCAGCAGCCAGGTAGAGCCAGCACCATGAAGCTACAGCTAATGCCATCCAGAGCAGCTCCACACAAGTTATTTCATTTCTCCCCAACCATAATAACTAGCAGAAGGACAAACTAAGGATGGGAGCAAAGACCAAAGCACAGGCTATTTCAGGCAGTGTGCTGAATTAGTATCTCTTAGTCATTGCCAGCATCAGGAGGACTGTGCTGTTTAGTCTGAGCAGCCATCGTGGGAAAGAGGAAAAGAGCTTTGAGTCCAGCTGCTTGGTGAACTTATCTTTTCAAAAGGGAGAGTAAGATGGAGGTAGTGTTTCTCCTGCTTGCAAACAGTTGGTGTCTTGCACAGAAGTGACGTCGTGGGAAGAAGCAACCATCTCTGAAATGAGAGCTCTTCCCTGCCGCCCCTGAGGGAGCACTGGCGAGGCCCTTGGCTCTGCCCAAGGGGTGGCACAGGGCAGGTAGGCAGAGGACAGCAGGTGACAGTCAGTGGTGCTGCAAGATGCTTTGGGGTGGGTTGAACCTGCAGGAGCTCAGCAGGCTGAGGGACGCGGTGGCCGATGGAAACTGCCAAGGGGATCAGCCCCATTGTCTGTGTGCAATGTCAGCCTCTGCAGAAAGCCAGGTGTCACACAGGCGGGTGCTGTCCAAGTTGGGTTGCGTCTGTCCAAGACACCTTCCTGCCTTTAATTAGCTTTTTCTAATCAACTGTTCTAATCAAAAAAACTACAACCAAATTAAACCACCGCGAAAGAGTGAACTTTTCAGAGCAGCCTCTGCCATGTCCCCATGGGCACACCAGTCCCCATCATACCAGGATGCAGGCAGGCACTGGGACTGCTGTTCCTGTGTGCAGGACTTTGCCTCCTTCCTCCTCCAGGATTTTGGGGGGTTTCCTTACACAAAGTGCTTTGCTGTTTGCAAACGATGTGGCAGATTTGCAGGAGGTTTGGAGTGGTTTTTTTTCTTCTTCTTGGCTATCTTTACTCTCCCTTTTTAAAGTGCTATCCATCTCTTTTGACATTTCTTTCAGAATCATCTGAATAATGTGTCAACCAGTGAGATATGTTTTGCTAGCTGGTTAAGTCCGAAATCCTGGGTTCTCTAGTGTCTGGCTCTTTACCCACAGTGGTGCTTATTTTCAGGTTACTTACAAAAGAGAAAGGATTGCTACAAACGATGGGAAAAACACAAAAAAATTTGCCTAGCAGATGTTTGCATGGATTTGTCAATTATTGCTAGTGAAAGGCATTGCACTGCAGGCAGCCTGTCCCTGAGCCCTGTCCACACTTGGTGAGACATCAGCACTGTGGCTTTCTGCAGTGCAATGCCTTTTCCCCCAGCAGAACACTGGAATATACTGGGTAGATGTAAAGCATGTTGAGAGTTGTGCACCTGAAAATATGGAGAGACTCACTGCACTGGCTTGCTTTCTAGGATCACGTTTAGGTGCGGAGGGCAGCGGTGATGCTACTGTGCATCTGCTACACAGATAATTCTGGTTTGATGAATATGTTTTGTACAGCAAAACCCAGTCTTCCCGATCCATGCAATTCTGGCACCTTTAAAGAGTTGTTTCCTTCCTTTTGGAAAAGCCAAACTGAGCCCAAGCCCATCAAGTTAGGTAGCTCAGCATACTGCAGAGGGCTTTGATCGGAGGGGTATGTCTCCCTCCCGCCCCAAGGACTCACTGCTCCAGCAAATTTAATGCAGCACAGGGCAGCTCTTCCCCTGGGCTAGCCAGGGGGGTGCACAGGGCAACTGCTCGCTGCATGGAAGGTGCTTCCCTCATCCCCTCCAGCCTCAAAATTAAGCCAGTTAAGTCAAAATTCAAGATTCCGCACCCTATTTTCACAGGCAGAGCAGGGTGGGGGCTGAGGTCCTCTTTAGCCCCCGCATTCACAGCATTTACCCCACGTCAGGCAGAAAGGAGCAAAGCCCGGGGACGGCAGTCCCTGCGGAGGCACAGGGCTTTACCACCATCTCCTGCCAGCCCTAATAACATCTGTTTTTTCTTTTGCAGGCCTATACAATTCAGGGACAATATGCTATTCCACACCCGGATGTGAGTTTTACCCTAATTTTTCTTATACCCTCTTATGTCACCTGCATGCTACTGTTAATTCACATAAGATTAATATTAGACAATAATATTAATAGCATATTTTCAAAATAACTGGCCGTGTGTAGTATCTGTAATACCTTCAATAGCCTTTTAACCTGTTAGCACTAAACTTTATTAATTCTGAGGACTTGGCCTGATCCTAAATTGTTTGCATTGTTCAGTGCTATCCCTTTGTTCTGAGACAAACCATACTCTATGCATTTTGTGCCTCAAAATGATCAAAAGACACAAAGAAAGGGGAAAAAAAACCACTTTCCCCTCTATTTCCCCCCCTTATCCTTAAATATTCATAAACCAAGGGCTTATTTAGGTGCTGAGTGCCTTGGTGGGGTGGGGAGAAGCCAGAGCTCCAGCAGTGCGTGGTTTCTTGCTTGAAGCCTGGTCAGGGGGACATGCCTTTTTGGGGGTCCTCCTCTGGGTGACTCAGAAGCAGGTGCTGAGGCTGGGCAAAATGCCACCCACGTCCCCTGGAGGGATGGAGAAGATGGCCGCCTGCTGCGCTGCTGGGTCTCACCTTGCCGACAGCTCTGCGCCTCCCCGAGGGAGCTGGACCCCAGGCTGAAGCAGTCACCCTGGGTTTGATGGCTGTCTCGCTTGGTTTGGCTCTCTGTCACCCAGGGGGGGCATGGCGGGCACGGTCCCCGCTTCGTCTCATGCTCCTTGGTGTGGAGACAGGCGCCGCTCAGACTTGCAGCATGGATGGGTTTTGCTGATGCTCAGATCCCTCTGCTCGCACCAGGCTCCCGTGGCTGGGGGAGGGCAG